AAAACGATGGAAGAAATATGAAAAAAAAGCGATTAAAAGAACGAGAGAAGGGTTTATGTGTTTTTGCGTAAAAAGAGAATAATAGTTCAGTCCCGATCGATCTTATTTATAGGGCATGGCATCTCGGTGCGGTGGAAAGGAAGGCGCGGCGTGCTTGGAGAGGTCACCGCGGCGTGTCACTTGTGCACGGCGTGGCAGGAGGTCTTCTCGCGGCATGGAGCTTCAGCACGGGCGTGGCAGGTCTCTCCTTCACGGCTTGGGGGCTGCGCAGCAGTGCGGCAGAGGTTGGTGACGCGGCACGAGAGTATCGCGGGAGGTGCTGGGCATAGGGAGCAGCAGTCGTCGCGGCATGGGGCGCGAAGTCTGATCGTCTGTCCAAGACGCTGCGTGGTCGCGGCGTGAAGCCTGGGGCGTTGGCGCGAGCGTGGCAGCGGGTGTGAGCAGTAGGTGCCGCAGCAGCCAGAGGTGCCAAGGCGCGTTGGCTACTGCGGCGCGGGGCGTAAGGCCTGGTCGTCTGTCCGTGTCGTGGCGGTGGCGCGGCGCGAGGTCTGGGAAGGCTCGTGGGCAGCTCACACAACTTTGCATTTTGGGCTCGTATGGGTTCGTCCGATCTCCGAATCGAGATCTGTTTTCTCCTGTGCGAAGCCCACGAACTCCACTATTTAAATACGCTTGCCCACATAATATTTTCCTGAAAGACTATTATCCTGAGACTTCCAACCTGCACACCAACGACGAAGAATAACCGAAAAACGACCGGAAAACAACGAAAATACCTAAAGGACTCCAAATAGAAGAGAACACTAAATAAACTAAAAAGCGATCTAAAACCAACTAATAGACCTAATATGAAGGAAAAAGCAAAGAAAAATAACAACGAAAAAATGCAACAAAAAAGAGACAAACAACCCTTTTCATGCGTGAATGAAATGTAGCAGGTGCATTAGAGAAGAAAAAATGCATGACTTTAAATTCATACTGCCCTTGACGGGCATTGAAAGCAGTGAGAAATATGTGTTCAACCTTCATCAAGATTTGAAAATATCCTGATCTGAGATCAATGTTTGAAGAAAAAAAAATGTGCTCCTGTCGCTTATCTAATAACTCCTCAATAATTGGTATAGGAAACTCATGTTTGATTGTCATACTATTCAAATACTTGTGATCTACACAGACTCAATGTAGCACCTTTATTCTTCACCAACAGCAGTGATGAGGCAAAAGAGCTTAAGCTAAGTTGGATGATACCAAAACGCAACAATGATCGTCTCTATTTTTGTCTTTTGATCATTGGAGACTTTGTAGGGAAATTGTTGTTTAGGGAAATTGTTGCCAAGATATGCATTGTCAAGTTACTGCATATTTAAAATAATGTATAGATTTTGGACCTTTCGAGGCGATTACCTACTACGTTTTGCAACTTGATGAATGATGTGCTGTATGAGTATTTGGACAAGTTTATCAATAAAATTTATTGTATCTAGGCAGCCAGCGCCTTGAAACTTTTATTCTCTTAGATATAAATAACATCATATATTTTTTTCTGACATACTGTGACTTGTGAGTGAATAAATTTATTGTGTGTGAGTGTATATACATGCATATATAAATAGAACATCTTAAGTAAAAAAAAAAAAAA